AGTTTAATTCAAGATTCCAATAATAATATGAACTCTGGTGCTGAGGATAGTGATGCTGGGTTTCAAAATGTCGGATGGAATACCAAACAGGTTTCTCAAGATGTGTGCTTCAAGTCTGGCTCTTCCATTGTGTCACATATTTGATACGTCATTCAAAACTAACTCTCTACCAACAAAATGGAAAAAAGCAATTGTTACTCCAATCCATAAAAAGGGTCCAACCAATTACCCCAGCAGTTACAGACCAATATCACTTACCTGCTCATCTTGCCGGGTTATGGAAAAAATAGTCAAGAACAATATAATATCTTATTTGTTAAACAACAATTTAATGTCAAAATTTCAGCACGGTTTTTTGCCTGCCAGATCAACAACTACTAACCTCCTCAAATTTCTAAGCGATCTGTTATTAATTCGCCAAAGAAAGGAAAGATGCGACACAGTCTATCTCGACTTTCAAAAGGCCTTCGACTCAGTCTCGCACACAAAGCTAATCTGTAAGCTAAAAGCATATGGCATTGGCGGAAATTTGCTCGGATGGATAACAGATTTTCTATATAACCGTTCACAGATAGTCAAGATTCAAAATAAACTGTCCAGTCCAGTTGCAGTAACAAGTGGGGTACCCCAAGGCAGCGTTCTGGGACCCACCCTGTTTCTCATCTTCATCAATGATATTGAAGACTGCCTTTCATCTCAACATGTCTCTATGCTGCTCTTTGCTGATGATATCAAATTGTATGCCGGTTCATCAAATTCATTCCAACTGCAACAGGTCCTTAACGATATTATTGCGTGGAGCATCAGATGGCAACTACCGCTTTCTCCTAACAAATGTTCGCTTTGCTCATTTCTACCATGTTCAAAAAATGTTACTGCCATAAATCAGTATGTGATAGAAAATCACATTCTGACACCTGTCGAATATTTTAAAGATCTAGGTGTAATATTCGATAATAAACTAAGTTTTAAACATCATATTAACAACATTGCGCGTAGATCTTCTACCCGTGCTCGTCTTATTATTAAATGTTTTACATCCAAGGATAAAGATTTGCTCAACAAGGCCTTTTGCACTTATGTCCGTCCTCTACTGGAATATTGCTCAACTGTCTGGTGTCCTCACTATAAATATCAAATTAGCAATATCGAAAAAGTTCAAAGGAGATTCACTAAGGCCATTGCTTCAATCCACCATCTTCCGTATCTGTCTCGTTTACACTTTGTCAAAATACAAACATTGGAACATCGCCGATTGATTTTTGATTTATGTTTGTTATACAAAACACTTTACAATCTCACTGTTCAACATTTGAAAGATAATTTTGTTCCATCTCATTATTTGTCAACTCGTGGTCATGGCAAGAGACTTCGTGAATGCAACTCAAGCGATAATACTACCAAATATATCTTCTTCAACAGAGTGGTTCGAGTGTGGAATGCACTACCGGATGAAGTTGTCTCATCTCCAACTTATGATGTTTTTAGACGCAAACTACTCTCTGTTGACTTGAAGCATTTTTTAACAAATAAATTAATTTGTTGATTTTTGTTTTCATATAACAACCAATTATTTATGGAATATACTGTGTATTTTGTTTAATAATAGTTTTTTTAAACATTATCTGATGTTCGTATGTATTTCAACCGATCGTTTTAAAAATTACCTATTTTTCGATCAATGCATTAATGACGGTGTTAGGAATAACTATGCAAATTTATGTTTAATATTTTCTTATTTTGTTTTTTTTTTTTTTTTGTGTGTTGACTTTTTCATCTGTCTGCCAATTGCCTAACTTTATAACATTTCATCTGTCTGCCAATTGCCTAACTTTATAACTTTCTGATTGGGTAAGTGGTCCGTTGGGCCCTCTGGTCAGTTTTGTTAAATAAATAAAAAACTAATATCTCCAGAGTGGTTGGAACCTTGGCTGACTCTGAGATTTTCAGTTCCAAATTAAAAGGTATTGAGAAGCGCTGTGTGCTTTATCTGGGAAAGATTGCTCCTTGCTCCAAAGAGGATGTTGAAGAACATCTATCTAACTTTAACATAGACTTTATTACTGTTAATCCTACTGGTTCAAAGAAAATTTCTAACATATCCGCTAAAGTTTCTGAGAATTCAAAGAAAATTTGTGATAATTCCTCTAATATTAGGTACAATGAAAACTTCTGATCAATCTTCTGAAAACTCATCTGTTTTAAGCTCTGCTTTCAGAATCTGTATACTGGAAAGTCAGAAAGATAAATTTTTCAAATCAGATATATGGCCTCGTCATGCTTTTGTCAGAGACTGGATTTTTAAAACCAAGAACAACAATTCTGTTAATCTAGCTGATCTAAATTTACTTAATAAAATATGTTGCCCAGTGTTTCTTAACAGTTGCTACAATTTTAAGTTGGACACTTTAAAGGATGATTTATGCAATTTGTATACATTTTGTCATACTTTTGGTATGCTAAAATAATGCTTGTGTGTTTTATATATGTACAGAGCTGAACATTTATATATCTATTATTTTGATTACTTCAGTATATGTATTCCTATGTGCTTATGTTTTTATATATGTACTAAGATGAACATTTATATATCTATTGCTTTTATTACATCAGTTTATATATTCATGCATACTTATGTGTTTATATATGTAGAAAAACGAAGATCCATATATCTATTACTTTTAGTACATCAGTGTATGTATTCAAACGTGATTTTGTTTTAAATTGCATATCGTTTCACGGTGGTCTGTACAAGTTTTGATTTTCTTATGGGATCTCAGTAAATCCTCACAATCTCAAATCCTTTATTTTCATTTTGTGTTTCGGATTTAAATAAATGAATTTTTGATTTGATTTGATTTTGATTTATTCGATAAAATAAATAGTTTAATTGTAAAAACATGTTTAACTGGAGTTAGATTTAAGTGACAATTTATCAAGTAAAAATTTCAGTGCAAAATGTTTACTTGATAAATGCAGTTTACTTAAACAAACGAATCTGTGGTAACATGACATTATGTTCCAACTTTCTTGACCATATCAAAGTAATAAGAATTGATTTTAATTTAACGTTATAATTTAATCAAAAAGCCTCAAAAGGGTTAATCTAATTTAATCACTAAATATATTTAGTTTATTTAATATAATATAATATAAATATGGGCTAGTATAAATTTTTCAAATTTTTAATAATTTTTTCATATTTTCAAAATTCCTACATAATTTAGTTTAGATTAAAAAATGTGTTCAAAATGTTTAATGTATAAAATTAATGGGTAATTCCCCAAAAATGCAATTTATATTTTAGCATTGTTACCCAAAACCGCATAAAAATTATCTAGCTGATAAAGCTTCGGAGACAAAAAAAGAGCAAAAGAAGGCACTAGTAAAGAAAGTGATGCTCAACCAATAAAAAAACAAATGTTGATAGAATCTGGTATAAAGGTTTCTTTGGCTAATAAAATGAAAATCCCTTGAACGGAATTTGAAGAAGATGTGGTGAAAATGCTTGTTGAAGACATGCAACCCTTAGCCACACTGAAAAGGTAAGGATTTAAAAAGTATATAGACAAGTATTTATCAAGTTATAAAATTTGTAGCTGTAGAACTGCCAACAGGCGTTTGAACCAAATGTATGATATAAAAAAGGAAAAACTCATCATAACATTATACAAGGTTCGGTGGCTTTCTGCAACTGCAGATATATGGACTGCACATAAAAGAGCATCTTTAGGCGTTACTATTCATTACATCAAACCAGATAACTAAAATATAATTTCTTCTTCTTCAATTATTTGTCGGAGGTTCACAGGTTCACATACGGGTACGGAATTAGATTATAGGAAAAATGTTATATTCTATTTTTGAAGAATTTAAAATTTCTTCAAAAATTCGAAATGTTGTGACTGACAATGCAACTAATTTTGCTAAAGCTTTCAGCTTATTTAAAAACTCTTCACCCACTGATAACAATAATCAGGATAATTTAATTAATGTAAATATCGATGAATGTCTGCAAGAAATTAATGATGAGAATGATGAATAAATTATACCGCTGCCTACACAAAAGCGATGTGGAAATCACTCTTTAAATTTTGTAGCAAGTGTAGATGCATTAAAAGCTAGGAATAATAAATTGTATCAAAAATCTTATGATCGAGCCATGAAAAAGGTTCAGACATTGTGGAATGCTGTGAGTAAGAGCCCAAAAGAAAATGATGCTCATCTTAAATATTTCCATTTAACATACTCTTGGGTTTTATAATCTGTTTTAGGTTTTATTAAAATTTTACGTGTATCTTAAATAATTCGCCGGATTGGATTTGGATTTTTATTAAATGAGTTTTTTCCCAATTATAAATTGCTGTTAGACAATAGACCGTCAAAGAAGGAACATCTTTATGATGCTTTATTAATTAAAACTCTGTTTATAAGGTCTGCACAAATTTATTTAACGTTTTTGGTTTGTTTTTTTTATGCCAAATAAAAGATCGTAAATTATAAACAAAATTTCTTGACTGCTCAAAAGCAAGTTCAGCCCAGCCTTTAACTTCTCAACAATGAATGAAAATGCAAATTAATTTTATGATATTTGTTTTATGTATGTGAAATATAATATGTCTAGAAAATTTCTTTCTTAGGTATGTTGGATATTGTTGCATCATATCAGAAATTATAGGTTCAAGCTAACTAATGGAGTAATGAAATTTGTGAAAAAAAACAAAAATAATAAAAAAAATTTCGGTGATCAAATCGCCGAAATTAAACAGTGGTCCCTCGTTATGAGCATTATTTATATAAAAAGCCAGTAAAACACAATTTTGCACAGAAAAAACACCATTTTATATCAAAAAAGGTCACCAGCCTAATTTTGGCCATTTGACTCTTTTTTTAATTTTATACACTGTCAAAGTTGCTTAGATCCGCCATTGAATGTATTTATATAGTAAAAAAAATAATGAGAACAAAAAAACGAACAGCAAAAACATGATGAACCGAACCTTTTTGATGGCAGTGATCGAGTAGGCGTGTCCCATGACTAGGCCTGTGTCCGTCGCTTTCTCCATGTCGTCCTTTGTCACCGCCTGTTGTCATTTTGCGTTGTAAATTGAATTAACTAAAAAATTAACTCAGCAAAAAGTGAGTCGATGTATGAGCATAAATAAATCAAAAAAGGGTCTATTGTTATCGTTCAGTGGTGTACCTAGAAATTTAAAAAATTTGCTCTGAAAGAAAAATGGTTAAAAACGACAACGACCTTTTTTCACAAAATTCAACATTTTACAAAATTTTTATGACTAAACCAATTAAAGGTAATATCAAATTTAAAAATTATTCATTTTTATATTTCAAACATATTTTCATACTTTGTTAAAACCATAACACAAAATTCTAAAACAAACCACAAAACATTAATAAAAATTTAATTAAGATTTACTTTTGAAATTCTATAAGAAATGCACCATTTCTAGTTTTGCAATTGGTTTTTGCACGATTCTCCATGTTTTGGTGCATTGTATTGACTGGCATCAAGGCAGTCTTATTTATTTCATGTGTTTTTATTTTATTGTCATTATTACTTTCTAAAGTATTTTTATTAATGTTTCATTATTTTCTGTTTAAATAACTATTTAATTAAAGTCAACTTAAACATTTTTTATTTATTTTAATTAATTTATAATTTATTTATTTACTCATTAAATTTATTTAGAATGTTTTCAATAATTTTATTTCCAATAAAAAATCCATTGAATTGCATAAACTTTAACTTGTATATGTGCTTGCAAATTTTCTGTTCTTCATCCAACGCAAAGTTGCTTACAAATCAAATATTTACTTGTTTCAATTAAACTTTTGTGCCATGAACACTATAACGATTAAAACGAACATGCATGTGATTTCGGCGTTTCACGATGCACATACAAATCTGTATACACGTGTACAAATTTACACAACATACATGAACATCTTTTATGTAGGTACGACCATGGCAAATTAAAAACGAGGCATATGAGTCTTCGAGTTTCATATAAACAGCATTCAAACCAGATCAGCACTCTATGAAAGGGGTAGACATAACACTCCTACCGTCTGGGCAAAATTTCCAATTAATATTAGGAGGAATCTTGCATTTCAATCTGTTTAACTTAAATTTTGTGCGCTTCATCATAATATATATTGCAAGTGACCTTCCACATTGCAGATAGGAGCTGGTTGAAATATATCGTTGCATCCATGAATGGGTTTTCAGTTTTTATTCTGTTTATTATAATTTAGCAGTGTCTTACCTTAACTATCAAAAATTTATATTTATGATGTTAATACCCCTTAAAGTGCTACATTCGAATGTTATTGTCACAAATATGTTTTTGAATCACATATTTCGTGATCTATCATGATCTACTGCAATCCCCCATGACTTCCCCATGATTCACTATAACTCACCAACCCATCATGATTCACCATAAAGAGAGGAAAATAACATTCTGAATATTTTGAAAGATAGGTTTTTGTTGCAGCATATCGCTTATCCAACAAGGTTCAGAAATGGACATATAGCAAACATCTTGGTAATTTCGTCGCAGAAATTTGTTTAAAATATATTACCCTCCACTGGATAATAGTGATCACTCAGTAATTGAATTCAAGCTCTGCAGAAACAAGCAAGAAAAAGTTTTGTTATGATTTAGGAGATTCCAAAAGTTTCAAGGATTCTTTGTCATCTTCGTTAAAATTTATACCAGCTTTGAACTTTGAAGACAATTGGAAGGCATTACAAACGGAGTAGTAGACGACTGGAATAGATTGCCCACACCTGCGGTCAATGCTGTCTCCATGAATAGTTTCAAACTAGCAGTGGATGGTTTCTTTGACTGGAGAGTTAACATTTGATTATTTTAATTTTGTTTATTTCGCATCTATGTATTGATATTTATCTTTATTATTTATTTTTGCATTTGCTATATATTATTTTGTTTGTGTGATGATTCGTGGTAAATTCGTCTATGTATTATTTAAAAAAAAAGGTTTCTTTCTTTAGATGGTAATAAGTAATGATCATTTATTTATTTTTCAACATATGAATTTTAATAGTTAAATTTAATTATTTTGACTTATGAATTTGAAATCTGATATTTGTGCCAGATCACTGAGAAATGAAGACATTGTACAAACGTTTGTGTGATGATTCGACAAACAATCAACTGTTATTTATTCTGGAGATATTTCTGTCTTGTGTGTGTTTGTGTGTGGTGTGTGTGTGTAATGTCATTGAGAAACCAAAACGTGTATCAATTTTCTATCTAGGTTTATTAATTTTTTACTTTTGAGTTTTCATTAGGATTGTCGATTTATTTTTTTTATGTATTTTTGTTTAATAAACAAAACAAATAATAATAATAATAATTTTCTATGATCTACCATGATATACCATGATCCATAATACGACCAATAATCGTCGACCATCATTCACCATCACACATCATCATCATCACCATCCAACATCTACTACTCTGTTAATTACCTTACATCAACCGTGAGTAATCAAGAAATCTACATAACTTAACTTCAAAAATCGATCAAAGCCATTTTAATTGATAGATAAATAAGGGGTGGAGTTAAGCGAAGGGGAGAATTTGTTTAAAAGTAGTAAAAACGATAAATATAAATAAAAGCATATAATTTTAAGCATATAATATAATACAATATAATTTTAAATATAATAATATAATTATAATATAATATTATATCACTAATGCAGCCATTTATGAAATCTACCGAATTTCTAGCGTTGTAACAAAAACAATCCAACGCTAGAACTTTGGTTGATTTCATAAATTACTGCTTACACACACACACACACACACACACACACACACACACACACACACACACACACACACACACATATATATATATATATATATATATATATATACATATATTGTACATATAAATATTATGATAGTATTATACTATAATGTAACATAATACAATAATATAACTAAATATAATTTTAAGCCAGATACTAATTTATTATTTGTCGATTTTCCAGATTATTATACAATTGTATAAAGTTAGATAATTCGTTGTAGCGATGCATTGGGTTTTTACCCGATATCAGCAATAGATAAAATCAATTATAATATTCAAATTAATTGAAAAGTAAATTAAATTTACTCAAAAATAAAGTTCAAAGTAAGACAAATAACAAAATTAAAACTTAACTTGCCAACAATACTCGTATTCTGTATAAGTAGAAACAAAAATAACAATCACTTCTTTCCATGAATAAAAAATAGCAAAATATTCCATACAAAACCCATCCACTTCCTGGGATGCCATAACACGGCCTCCGATAAAGACCACCAACACAACTACCATCAACACAATTACCACCAACACAACTACCACCAACACAACTACCACCATAAAAAGCTATCAAAATAAAATCAAAATAATCAAAATAACTACCACCAACGAACCAAAAAAGAAATGACGACTTTGGTATCATTTATTATTTTATTTCATATGTTCCAGATCCAGACATTCCTTTAATTGGAGTCCGGAAGATACAAAACAAAATAAAGATAATACCGAAGACACCATGCATTGCAACAACCGCCAAAACAAAACTACCACAAACAAAACTAACACCAAAACATAACAACCACCAACACAACAACCACCAAAACATAGCCTCTAAAAACAAAAAACTAACACCAAAACATAACAACAACCAACAGGAATAGCAGCCGCCATGAGAGCATGATCACTTAACTGCCTCTCGAGCCATTCAAAAAATTCTTCCTTCTTGTTGACATCTTGAAAATATTTTTCTTCCTGTAAGTTGAAAGTTTCTGAGACACCGCCCGTGAAATCTTCCAGCGCTTCTGACAACTCGCCTCCATCGAGAGCCTCGTAACTACCAATCAACCTAATATTTTAAACCTCATTCTATTAAGTTAACTAGTTTAATAGTGAAAATATTATAGAGAATCGTTTAGAATTATATCACGCAAATTTTAAAAGCATTATTAAATTTGCTAAAAATGTAAAAAAAGTAACTGAATATTGAGATCAATTTGTGTAATTGTGTAATTATGACAATGACAATGTTGGAAAAAATATTCATCTCAAAACAAACTTAGTTCTAACTTGGCATAAGCTTTTTCTAACAGAGGACTCCAAAATTCATTTTGTGCTTTCGATCTCAAATAAACAAGTTGACCACGTCGACAAGGCAACAAATCATCAATGACCACATCGGTCCACACTCCGTACCTCCAAAAACGAAAGTGAAAAATGCCAGCATATTTCTCTGGTTGCTTTGCATCCCATTCCTGGTCCTTTACATCTGGGATCACCTGAAAAAGTAAATTTATAAATAAATCAGCTCCATTCAAAAGCAACGAGTGTTTAAAATAATTCAAGCGATCAAGAAGCAATTCGACTTGGCAAATAATAAAGGAAATCGCACAACAAATGTTTTATAAGTCATCTAAATAACAATCAACAAAAAGGCAAAGCATACTTGAGACCAAACACTCTTGTCAATAGCAAGGCAGCAACAGGCAGCAACAAGCCAACAGTTACCAAGCTCTCCCTGGATCAAATCTTGACTACTGATCCCGTCCACCACTAATTTAGGATCGGAACATATCTCCTGGATAGATTAAGCACACTAATGTTAAAATAAGACAAAAACAACAAAATAATATAAACTAATGTTAGGCTGATATGAAAAACATAACAAAAATGCGAAAATTGGAAATAAATATGCTAGTTTACAATTAAACGATGAATAACTGCTAAAAATCGCTTTCAGTTACTTACCTCAAGCACGACACAATATCTATTTTTTAAAGTTGCACATAAAAAACAAATTGTTAACTCTTTACGGCAGAATGATAACATGAGTAACACAGGTTAACAATTGTAAAAACCCATTGTAGAAATTTCAAATGTTTTAATTAAAAGTTTAAAATTATTGTATTCACTCTTTAAATTGAGTTGAAGGGTTTGAGAGTACTTTTCAATTTTGTATTCTTTAGATTTTTTAAAATTTGTTTCGTGGCATATCGTTAGTTCTAAAATCTCGATCGTGTCGTCGCGGACCAGTGCTATATCAGGACGCAGAGATTTAAACAGCGTTGATACTGGACGAAAATCTTCACACTCCAGATCGGCAAACAACGAGACTTCCAAACTTGCGCATTTTTTAATATTTTCTAAAACTATTGAGAGAATTTTGTTGTGACGATCTGAATATCTTTTCAAAGCTGCAACGGAGCTACAATTGGACAAAACATGCTTGTTTGTCTGATAAGCGTACATACTGGACATTGTGGTTTAGACGTTTTGCCCCATCTTGCTAGGTTGGGGTTCGTTGGAAGTTGTTGAATGATACTTTTCCTAATAAACTTGTAAATAACCTCTGACAGTGTGGCCATAGACCTTGACCAGCGAACTATTTGATCTGATTTGATGTTTTCCCTCACTGTCTTCAACACTATTCCTTGGGAGCTTAGTGATGATAAATGGTCAAACACCGTTTCTTGCTGTTTGAGCTTCAAGTCATGGAGAGTGGGATTTATATCTTTGGTGACAGGGAGCAAGTTGTCTATTTTTGTGTAGTCATTAAATGACTCGCTCCACAGACTTTTCATTTCTTCGTTACGGTTAGATTTAAGGTAGTTGCGAAGCTTCACTCTTAATGATTCAGCATAATGTTTCAGGGATCTGATGTTCAGACCTCCCAATTTGTACGGCAGTGAAAGAATCTCATATAGACAGCTGCTTATCGGTAAAGCCAGCCAAGTTCTAACGGCATCGTTAATCAATGTATCCAACTTGCTGGCAATCCATGACAGTGATATATCGTAAATACGCAGTTCGAGAGCTACTTGAGCTGGGATAAAACGACGTAAAATTTGAAGTTTCCACTGGGCTGTGGTGTCCAGACTTGAAATCGTTGACAACATGCCTTGTAATTTGTTGAGCAGCAAATCTTTAGCTTTGGAATTGTTGCATTCGAAATCGTATAATTTACCTAGATATTCGAAATGGTCACCAATGCGAATCTGCGGTACAGGGGTGTCATCAATTGTCAACCTCGGCAGGAATTGTTTGTAGTTACCATTTTTCTTCCTCATGCCGAACGTGCAGCATTTATCTATCCTCATTTTCATCCCGGTAGCTTTGCACCAAGCTTTGTTTAAGTCAATTAATTTTTGGGCACCTTCTGTGCTGTTGGCGATGATTGCTGAGTTGTCAACAAATTGGAACCATGCCCTTGATTTTAAATAAGCTGAAGGACCCCAAATGTAACCACATTGCTGGTATTCCCTGCCCTCTAACAACTTCATGAGTGGATTAAAGCAAAGGTTGAACATCAACGGTGACGCAGGATCACCTTGTAGTACACCACGCTTGACCGGGATCGGAGGAGTTAGCTTTTTGCATCCAGAGACCGATATCGAATAATCTGTGTATATAAATTTTATTAAATTGGTTATTGCTGGTGGTTTATGATGGTAATTTAGAGAAGCTGAAATAAGGTCATGACTGACTTCGCCAAAAGCGTTGCTATGGGTTCCCCTCTTGGCGTCCTATTTGCCAGTTTTTACCTAGGACAGCTGGAGAATGAAACATTCAAAAACAATGCAAGTTTAAAACCAAATATATACGCCAGATACGTGGATGATATCTTTGTCTCCTATAACGATCCTGAACAAATCACCCAACTTCTTGGTACCTTAAACAAATCAAAACTTAAATTTACCATTGAAAGTGAAAAGGAACAACGTTTACCTTTCCTCGATGTGTTGGTCACCCGTGGCGAAGAACGATTCAAAACCGCGGTCTATGTCAAAGAAACGAATACAGGAATTTGTTTGAATGGACAAAGTGAATGCACTGAACAATTTAAAGACAGCACAATAAAATCATTTGTGAACCGGGCATTCACACACTCTTCCGATATTGAAAATCGCGACGCTGTATAAAAGAGAGTCACTAACCTGCTTGTAAACAATGGATATAAGACTTACTCTATCGAAAAGATTGTTAAAGGCAAATTACTACACAGCAATAACCTTCCTAGTACCAACAATCAAGATAACGACATCATCTTGTATTACAGAAATCACATGTCAACAGCATACAAGGTAGATGAAGCTATTCTTAAACATATCATCAATAAAAATGTCACACCAACCAACCCAAATAGTTAAGTTAAACTCCGAATTTATTACAACAATAAAAAGACGTCTCACCTAATACTGAAAAAAAACTGCAGTCCTAGAGATAACTCTGAGTTAAAGCGTAATCACGTAATATATGAATTTAATTGCCCCTTTGACGGCTGTGCACGTCAACATGACTCATATATCGGGATTACTACTACCTCACTGACTAGAAGGCTTACGATGCATAAACAGAGTGGTGCTATCAAATCTCATTTGGACTCAACACACTCAATCACAATTAGCCGTGAAATCCTCGACAGCAACACCAAAGTAATATACCAGAACAGCAACTACACGCATCTTAAAATTGCAGAAGCAGTCCTAATCAACATCAATAAACCAAAAATAAATATACAACAAAAAAATGACAAACTCACTTCCAACCCGGCGCTTAACCAACAACGAAAACAAAGAAGTAATAAAAACTAGCATCGTAAATAGTGACAAAGAAGAATATGATGCTATCAATGAAGAAAAGGAGACCAAAGAAGCTGACCAGCCTAATAAGAAACCTGACACCTAATTCGCATCAAAGTTCAATTTTACAACACCAAAGTTAATTTTTACAACGTCAAAGTTAATCTTGACAAAGTCAATATTTCCCTATATATACAAAAAGGAGCACTGACGATGATTCATTCGGAATCGAAATATGGCCTTATTTGCAGCATGAATTCTAAAAATAAGTTTATTTTGAATTTTAATAAACTAAACGTTCACCAAAAAAACTTTAGTGAGAAAAATTGAAAAAACGAACTACAAACATATTAACGCCAAACATTAGGTAGAATTTATAGAATATTGTAAAAATATATATATATATATATATATAAATATATATATATATATAAATAAAATACACCAACACTATATTTACTTGCATAGGATCTTTTGAAAAACAAATAATTAGTGTGCATGGTTCATATTATTCCCTACAGAAGAGTTCAGATGAAATTTATTATCAATTACGCATGCAGAGTGGATAGGAAGGAGATGAATGCAATGAATGTAATCGCACCAAGATATTCACAAATAATATTTTGACATGTTCATCTGACCTAACCAATCCAACCATTCAACCCAGCTACAAGCATTTCATAAAATAAAATAATTAAATTTGTTGTTCGATAACATAATTAAATTTATCTTTTAAACCATTAAAAAACTCAGTAACCTTCTTCATTTTATTAATAAATCACATTCATTTTCACTTTGTATTGACGTTTTTAGAATTAAAAAATTAAATTGATTTATCTTTTCAAATTTTTTTAAATGTGATAATTGAACAACATATGAACATATGAAAAAAAATTTAAAACCATGTTGTTGTGGGAAATAATAATGTTTGGTGTATTGTATTGTATAGTGGTGAAGTATAAATATAATGTTGAATAGGGAAGGTGAGAACTTATTTAGAAGAATATGCCTAATTATGTTAATTTTGTTGTCAAAGCATGAAAACAAGTTTGAAATAAAAAATTTTAACAAAGATTTAAACATAATCATTAAATCAAACAAACAACAAAATTATATCGATACCCCATGATTTAAATTGTTGTCAAGTCTCATTTTAAATGTAAAAATTAAATATATGTTAGCTCAATCTATTTTTATATCCTATCAGAAAAAAAAACATTCCACCATAAACAAGATTAAAAAAATATTGGCAAGAAAAAAAATCAGGATCTAACTTTTGGTCGTTTCCATTCGATGTTCCTGCCAAGATTTCCGTTCTTCGAAATTGACTGAGATGATGGAGGAAATTCTGGATCTTGGAAAAGGACACCACTGGTTTGTGCCTGCTTGCGAAGAGCATGGTACTTCTGGTTCTTGAAGTGCACATCATCCGAACCAAATATTCCCATTTTTGTTTTGTTTATGGTCGATTTTTTTTAATCAGTTCAGTATTTTTTTGCATGAATTGATTTTTTTTATTTTTTATATCTTATTCCAGTACTTTAATGCCCCATATTACACAAGGAAAAAGAATAAAGTTTTTATGCTGCAAGTTATTCTACTGAATGTCAATTTGAATAATCAAATTATGAAATCAAATCAGATGAAAGATTAAGTATGGAAAACAAATAATGAACAATCATTATCAAAAATTTTCGTTAAAAAATTATAAAAATAACTCTACAGCAAAATAAAGTTAAAATAAAAAATATTTTTAATTTTTAAATTGCCCTGATAACAAAATTAAATAAAAATAAAAAATCCAGTAAAATACACAGAGCAATAAATATTAAATTTATACAATTCATTATTTATTTCACAAATTAAAACTGATGAAACTTAATCAGTCTGAGAAAATTTAATTCATTTGGAATTTTAAAGCCAACAATTAAGAAATCCGAAAAGCTACATGTCATAAATTTAAACAATTTTTATTAAATTCTAGTAAGACTTTTGCCTGGATCATTACCCACCACCACTAAATACTTTCATTTGATACTTCTAAATATTTTCTGCATCAAACTATTACATTACATGATCATTCAATCTATTGCATCCTACTTTCTTCAACATCTAATCTTTCATAATTGCACAATCAACTTATCAATTAAAAAAAATTTTTAGCAGGCAATTATGGATATATTTAATTAATTGTATAAATAGATTTTCTAAATTTATGCATTTCTTCCAACAAATCTTTTGACATTAAATAACTGAACATCCCTTCCTTCTCAACTAAATAATTTTCTTTAAGCCCAACTGAAATCACTTCCCATCAAACAAACAAAAGCATTTCATCTTCATCATCCCAACCAACACAACACTTGCTTTAAATACCTCAGCAACCAGAATCTCAACTTCCTTGTCAACCTAAAAACACTTTCAAGTTTCAATGCCTTCAACATTGACCTATCCTTATTCATCAATCAGATTACCACACAAGCAATCAATGCATTATACTACTTTACTTACACAAATTCAATTATGAAAACATAATCAAACCATAATTATATTATAAAAATATAAATGTAGAAATATAAATGATGCTATTCATCATTGTTATCATCAATAAAAAAACCAAGCAAAAACACTCATCAGCCACCAAATGCTCTCTATCTATTCTGTGCCACATCACTTTGTTTGATTTTAATTTAAATTAATATTAAATTAATTAAATAAAGACCAACATCAATTTCTACATTTGTTGATTAAGAAGAATTAGTAATTTAATTAACTAATTAATTATTAATAGTTATAAAATTGAATTAAAATGGTTCACTTTTGAAATTATAAAAAACACAATGTGTTGTTATCAGTCTATTTCTATTATTACCTATGCATTTGTAAAAGTAAGTTTTAATTTTATTAAAATTAAATTAAATTAATAAACAAAGCACTTACCATACAATACAACAGAAGACTTACTTCTAGATGATTACTTGATTAATAAAATTATTAAAATTAGTTATAATTATAAAATAAAGTATAAAAAATATTTCATTATATTTTTATGTCACTTATTTTTATTTTGATGTAACATTTTTAGTTTTTATATTTAAAATTATTTACTAAGAATAATTAATAACTAAATGAAAGAATCTAGTTGATAAAAAAAAATAGAATGCAGGCAAATCAACAACACGTCATGAAATTTTTTAATAAAATAATGTTAAAATAAATTCGGGACGGGACGACTGCAGAAAAGCGATCGCCACCCAGCCAAACAATCAATCAACAGGCAGGTAAACAACACATGGACAAAATAGTGGCTGCACGTGCACAATAGATTGTCCCGTTGATGTATGAATAAAATTTGTTGTTAGGTTTCATGTTGGGCGTCAGAATTTGTGAAACTGTAAGCTGATCAAAAAATATTACATTTTAAGATTAGATGTCGTTTCGAGGTCCTTGAATTCTAGAAAATTTGGTGTTTTGCAGACTTCAAACAAAAAATTTTGAGAATGCAATGATCATATTTAAAATAAATTTTATTAGGAAAATTGATGTTATAAAACATAGTAAAATCAAATAACATCCATATTAATTGACAAAAATTCAAAATTAAAATTTATTTTTCTTTCCATAATGTTGTAGTTCTGTTCCACATTATAAATTATTTATAATTAAACCGTCTCTGTAACTAGCTTTCACTCGCTACAAAATCTCAGTTACTAGTTTAACATATCTTTCTAGATCTAGAGATTGTACGTGGCAGAGAAAGTTGTCAGCTTTAAACGTTCTATCCTTCTTCATGACTTTATGGTCCTCGTTCGAAATATCCTGTAGAACAGGCGGTGTTGAAACCTGACACTCGGGCCGCACAATAATTTCTGGGTAATCTTCAGCAGAAAAGTTGAATTTGGGAGTTTTACTATCTTTTATTCAATGCCGTTTTGATCTTTTCTAGCTATCGTTATTCTTCGAAAAGCCAACTCTCAAATATGCTCTCCATTATCAAACAACATGACAAGAAAATTTTCTGGTTGCGCAAGCTCCTTCCTTGAAAGAATTTTTTTCTTAATTTAAAACTACATTAGAGCGTTTACTTTAACTACATTGCAAATTTTCTCATGGATTAAAAGTACTTATTATTTCAGGTTGACGGTTTGCCACCTCAGAACTACAATGTCCAGTTGATGTAGCATAACATTTTATAAAGATATTTCTGTAGTACTTCATTTGCAACATTTGTTGGTAGGTTAGGCAACTTACCGGTCACTGCATTATAAGGCACCGTTTTTTTATTTCTGCAATCCGCTAATTGTTTTTCAATCAGTCCCGTGTATTCTCTTGAACCTGAAACACATTCATCCAAGAATAAATGGCAAAAAGGTAATTTAATGAAATGAAAAAATAACAAATACACTATTGAAAAGGTTTTTGAAAATGTCTCCCTAAATTAGTGGCGCAGCGACTATAAAATTCTGCTTGGGCAAATTTCTTATTAGCGTCCTTTCACCAAAAAATTTAATTTCTAATTTAATCAATCCAAATTTAGGCTACATATCTTCAATTTTTTAAATTGTGACAAACATACTATCAATAAAAAAAAGTAAATTATAAAAACACATTAACTGTGATCATATAAAAAATAAATTGTCAAAAATTGGTGACAAAATCATGTTTACAAAAAATTAAAAAAGCAAATTATCTATACAAATATTTTAATTCTATTTATTTAAAAAGTGAAATGTAAAAAAAATGGTAAATTTCATTAAATGTCAACTTTTCTGGCTTTAAGTTAAGTTAAAAGTTATGAAGTTGAATATGCTTAGACCGAATAAGACTGTATGTCTTGTCAAATATATATTATTACTCATTGCATTTTTACAGCGCCAGTTTGAAAAAAAAAATCCTCACCGGCGCTTCAATAGATTAAATGTTATTAAAGGCTGAACGGATAGGTTTTCAGCTGTTTCTTAAATTGACTAAGGGCAAAATCACCACTGCGCAAAGTGTTTGGAAGGTATTCCACAATCGTGGTCCGACCACAGCAAAGCTTCGAGATCCAATCTTGAGGTTTGTCTTTAGTACACACAAAAAATTTGAATCAACAAACCACAATTCATATTTTGACAACTTTGTTCTATCATTAGTTAACAAATCGATCATATTTTGTGATGCAACATTATTCAATGATTTATAAATTAATACACTTAATTTAAAAATAATTTTTGTATCAACCCGCAATCAATGCAATGTATTGGGCTCACACGGTCAACTCTACTACCCTTAACCACTGTTTTGAATTGACTGCAAAATAGATAAATCGCGCTTTGATATTTCTTAATAAAGACTGTTACAAAAATTCAAACGAGCATGGATGAAAGAATGGACCAGAGTGTTCAATGTTTTTGGTGGTTTTTTTCAGCAAACGTAGCTGAAATGTGTAAGATTTAAACAAAGACTTCATTTGCTAGTTCATCGACAGCTTAGAATCCAAAATAAAACCAAGCACAATCGCCAAACTAGAAAAATTTATAACATTGTCATTGATTTTAATGGACTTAGCAGTTATTTTGGACAACTGTTGCCAGGTGCCTATCAGTAAAATTTCTGTCTTAGTGTGGTTCATCTGAATACCATTTTGCGCCATCCAAACATCTATTTCAGATAAACAGTTTGCGAGTCGATCTGCAACCGATCCAAGCATTTCAGGCACAGTTCTTGCTACAATTTGGAAATCATACGCATAAGCAAAACCCTTAAAACCGTATCTGTCAATAATTTTGAATAATTCCGCAGTGCACAAAAGAAACAAAATAGGACCAAGAAATGACCCCTGCGGTACACCGTATTCCAGATATTCTATATATGTATATATATATATATATATATATATATATATATATATATATTTGGTTCCTTTATATATATATATATATATTTATATATATATATATATATATATATATTAGGATTTTGACCACATTCGATACAGTTTTCAAGAAATTTTTAGATTGAATTTCAAACATTAAATTTCGTTTGTTGGTGAGTTCGCGA